TCTGCACCCTCTGTCCAGTGGCAGGACAGGTCAAGAGCTGCCCCTTGGCCGGGCACGGTGGCTCAAGCCTGTCATCCCAGCACTCTGGGAGGCCTAGGCGAGTAGGCTGCCTGAGCCGGGGTTCGAGACCTGCCTGGGCAATTGGCAAGACCATTTCTACAAAAAAAAAAAAAAATCCTAGCCAGGCATGGTGGAGCATGCCTGTGGTTGCAGCTACTTGGCAGACTGAGGGGGAAGGATCGCCTGAGCCCAGCAGGTGCAGGCCGCAGTGGCCAAGAGCGTGCCACTGCCCTCCAGCCTGGGTGACAGAGTGAGACTCCCACTCAAAAAAAAAAAAAAATCAACTAATTAGCCAGGCATGGTGGGGCACGCCTGTAGTTCCAGCTACTTGAAAGGCTGAGTTGGAAGGAACGCCTGAGTCAGCAGTCTGAGGCTGTAGTGGCCGTGAGCATGGCACTGCACTCTGGCCTGGGAGACAGAGTGAGACTCCAACTCAAAAAAAAACAAAAAACAAAAAACAGTTGTCCCTTAGCCCAGGCTGCCACCGGAATGGTGTGGTGGCACAGTATGGCCTGGGGTGTGTTACAGAAGAGCCTGCCTCAGGGTACCCCACTAGCAACAAGGCTCTATCCCCAACCCAGAATCTAGGTGAAGATGGCTGGGTCCATGTGCCCTGCTGGCCTCTTGCCTGTGGGAAGATCTACAGCCCTGAGCCACACCTAGGCCAGACACCACCGTGCCCATTCTTGGTGACAATAACCACCGTGGTACACCCAGGGAGCAACAGTAAAGTTTCCTGTCCTCAGGAGGCCCCAGGAAAACACGATTCTGGTCCCAGCTCTGCCTCCAGCTTGCTCAGCCTCCTGGCGCTGTTTTTCCTGCCTCCCTTGGGCCTCAGTTTCCCAGCTGACGTCTGAGCTGGGCCCTCCTTTGTGTCCTCTGCCCGCCCTGAAGCTGAGCCCGGCAGCCCCTGCAAGGACGCGGAGAGGAAGTCACACTGGGTTCCCTTCCCAGGGAAGGAGCTGGGAAAGGAAGCGCTCACGTCCCGGGGCTGTCTTGCCCAGCCTGGCGCACCTCCAAAAGAGAGTATGCTGTCACCTGTGCCCCGGGACCGGCTTCCCCGTGGCCCCAAGGAGCTTGTGTGGGGAATAGTTATTAATAAACAGCAGCAAGGAGCCACCCGCGGCCTTGGGTGTGAGAGATAGAAAACCAGGTGAAGCTTGGTGGAAGCCACACCCTCCTGCGCGAGTCCCAGGTTTTGTCCTGTTCTGTGGCCCAGGCTGCCCCTGAGGCGACACCCTGAGGCTGGACAGTTTGCAAGGGGCATGCTGCAACAAGGGTGGGGGTCGTTTTGAGGGTGCCTCCGGCTTGCATTTTAGAGCCCTGAATAGAATCTACAGGGGGAAGGGGGACCCATAAAAACCTGGAATTATGTTTTGGAGGGTGGGTCTCTTATGGTACAGGCTTCCCCCTCTAGGTGAGTGTTCTGGGAACCCATCAGCATCAATGTTCTAGCTAGCGTTGTTATGAGAGTCTGTGTTCAGCTTCAGTGAATTTCTTTTTGGAGATTATTTCAACACGTTTGCCCATTTTCATCATGGGTGATTTACAAGTGCACCTGCCCACACCACGCTGAGCATTCTGGAGTTCTTGATCAAAACCAGCCTGACCCCAACGCCTCATCCTTCCTGTTCACCCCTTACTGCCCGGAGTGACTTTTTTTTGTTTCGCTGGATGAGAAAAATCCTCAAAGGGAAACGTTTTGCTGATGTGGAAGAGGTGCATAAAAAAAATTAGCAGGAACACTAAAAGGCATCAAAACTGATGAGTTCAAAAGCTGTTTTGAGCAGTGGAAAAAGTGTCTTGATAAGTATATTGCATCAAACAGAGAGTACTTTGAAGGCAACTGAAGTTTAAACATGTAAGAATAAATACACTATTTTTTATAAATAAATTCCATTCTTTTTAAGGTCCCCCTCATATTTGGATCAACCAAGGAGGCCTCTAGTCAGTCTGGGTACAGCTATTTTTTCTTTTTTTTTTTTTTTTTTTGGAGTCTCACTCTGTTGCTCAGACTGGAGTGCAATGGCCGCTCCCGGCCACCGCAGCCTTGACCCTCTGGGCTCCAGCGATCCTTTTGCCTCAGCCTTTCAAGTAGCCAGAACTACAGGCACGTGCTACCATGCCCGGCTAATTTTTGATTTTTATTGTAGAGACGAGGTCTCCCCAAGTTGCCCAGGCGGGTCTCGAACCCGCGGGCTCAGGCAATCCACTCACCTCAGCCTCCCAAAGTGCTGGGATGACAGGCTGAGCCACCGAGCCTGGCCTCTCTTTCTTTTCTGCATGCATCTGTCCCACCCAGGATGGCCCACGGGGTAAAAATCAGAAGCTTCTGAACAAGAAGTCCCTGCCCACCTTGCGTGGTGTCTTCTCACAAAGTCATCTGTCTTCTCAACAGTTGCCTCTGCTTGACTTTTGGGTTCTTGTCCTGAAACTGCCATCCCCTCCAGGCCCATGCCTTTAGGCTGCTTTTTGCTTCCTCTCTCTAGATCTTCTTCACTGGAATCCTGTAGATTCTGCCTCTGCAAACATTTCTCCTCTTTGTTGTCTCTGGCCACTCCCTGGGCTCCACTTTCTCACCTGGATGATGTCGCGGTCTCTTGCTGCGCTCCCTGCTTGAGGTCTCTGCCAGCCGCATCTCTTATCCACTTTATTTATTTATTTTTTTTGAGTTGGAGTCTCACTCGGTCCCCCAGACTGGAGTGCAGTGGCCGCTCCCGGCCACCGCAGCCTCGCCTGCTGGGCTCTGGCGATCCTTCCGCCTCAAGTAGCCGGAATTACAGGCACGCGCTCCCAGGCCCGGCTGATTTTTTGATTTATTGTAGAGATGAGGTCTCGCTGCCGGGGCGGGTCTCGAACCCGCGGGCTCGGGCAATCCACTCACCTCAGCCTCCCGAAGGCGCGGGATGACAGGCTGAGCCACCGAGCCCGGCTCTCTTATCCACTTTAGAAAGGTATGGCTCTGACAGAGACGTGAAGGCAGGTGCCTCGCTCTCCACAGCCTCCCTTTCAGCCTTGCTCATTTAATACATCCTCGTTTAATACAGTTCTGCTCTGGGGGCTCAGGCTCCCACTCATCTCTCTCTCTCTTTTTTTTTTTTTGAGTTAAGGTCTCACTCCTTCACCCGGGCTGAAGTGCAGTGGTGTGATCCTGGCTCACCGCAACCTTGATCACCCAGGCTCAAGCCGTCCTCCTACCTCAGCCTCCCAGGCCTCTAGGACTACAGGCACATGCCTCCACACTCAGCTAATTTTTGTGTTTTTCGTAGAGACGAGTCTCGCTATGGTGTCCAGGCTGGTCTCGAACTCCTGGGCTCAAGTGATTCTCTTGCCTTGGCCTCCTAAAATCCTGGGATTGTAGGCGTGAACTACTGCGCTTGGCCTCCCACACATCTTGACTACTTGTGTGTCCCCAAACATACACTAGTGCTGGTCCTACTCTCGGGCCTTTGCTGTGCCCGTCCTTTTGCCTGGTGCACCTTTTCCAGCTAGTTTCTTTCTTTTTTCTTTTCTTTTCATTGGAGTCTTACTCCATCGCCCAGGCTGGAGCCACCCCAGCATCGACCTACTGGACTCCGGCGATCCTTCAGCCTCAGGCTTCCAAGTAGCTGGAACTATAGGCGCATGCCCCCACACCCGGCTCGTTTTTTAATTTTTATTGTAGAGACAAAATCTCACCAAGTTCCCCGGGCTGGTCTCGAACCCATGGGCTCAGGCAATCCACGTGCCTCGGCCTCCCAAAGTGCTGGGATGACAGGCTGAGCCACCGAGCTCAGCCTCCAGCTTGTTTCTGTCACGTTTCTCTTCATCCTCCCTCTCAGACCCCTCCTCTCCTCATCCTCACAAGCCGTGCCTGTGCCCATACAGAGCCCGAATCAGAGTCAGTCCCGTGAGGACAGAGACTGGGCCTTGGTGAGTGCTCAGTACGCAGTCCCGCCCTGGAATCAGATCCTGCCCCGTGATTCGGTCCCTCCTTGCCAATCCTGCCTCCCTGCCGGCTGCCCGGGTGGGACCTCGTGGTGTCTCCTCCGGGTGGCCACCCTGCCTGGTCTCTGCCCGGTCTCTCTGCCTCCAGGGCTGCTCCCCTCAACCCACTCCCCACACTCTCATGGTTCCCAAGACAGATGGGCATTGTGACCTTGCTCGAAGTCCTGCCCTGGCTCCCCATTGCCTCCTGTATGGTCGGCCCTGTCGCCTGCAGTCAGGGCCTTCCCGACTTCCTCCTGGCTTCCCTCCTCTGGTCCCTGTGCCCACCATGCTCAGTCGCACACAGTCCTCGGCGAGGGGATGCTCTCCTCATCCCCGGGCTTTGCTGGAGGGTCCCTCTTCCTTATTTGTCTGGCTAACTCCTGCCAAACTCATCTCACCTGTAGCCTCTCCTTTCCTTGGGGGAACTGCCTCTCCTCTCGTCCACGCGACTCTGGCGGAGACCACCCCAGCATCCCGTCCACTCCCAGCCACGAGAGAAGGCCTGCAACTCAGCCTCGGCTGCGGTCCCGACAGTTGTTCCAGAGTGTGAACCATACTGGCCAATAAGGTTTCCCTGGGATTTTGCTATACAGAGAGAAGGAGCTCTCTCCTACTCTTGGAACGACAGGCTAAAATGACTGAGGTGGGAGCAGGGATGTAGACCTGGGATCATTCCCAATCCCTCCCTGATCCAATGGAGGGAGCTGCGTCGTGGCAGGAAAGCACAAGACAAGGCGGAGAAAGAAGCTGGGCAGAGAGAGAAATCAAATGACTGCATTTGAATGGCTGGATCCAACCACACCTGAAACTAGCAAATCCCTGGTCTCTCAAGTTTCTTGAGTCAATAAATACCCTCTTTTGGCTTTAGCTAGTCTGAGTAGGTTTCTGAAACATGTGACCAAAAGAGTTCCAACAAATACAAGAGGGCCAGCCTGAATCGCACTGGGTTAAGTCTTTCTTCTCATGCGCTTCTTTGTAACGGCACTTGCTGCTGGAGATCAGAACCATCTGTCCATTTGTCTCAGTGGCGTGGCTGGGTCTTAACTTGGTATTTCCAGCAGAGTGCTTTGTGGGGTATAGTCAATGTCACTGGCACAGACAGCGACAGCAATCTGTTTTTTGTTTTTTTTTTGAGTTGGGGTCTCACTCTGTCACCCAGACTGGAGTGCAGTGGCACCATCACAGCCCAACACAGACTCAATTTCCTGGGCTCAAGGAATCCTTCTGCCTCAACCTCCCAAGTAGCTGGGATTACAGGTGCGTGCCACTAGTCCTCAGGTAATTGTTTTTCTTTTTTTTTTTTTTTTAGTTGGAGTCTCACTCTGTCACCCAGACTGGGGTACAGTGGCCACTCTGCCCACCGCAGCCTCGGCCTGCTGGGCTCTGGTGATCCTTCTGCCTTAGCCTTCCAAGCAGCTGGAATTACAGGCATACGCTACCATGCCCGGCTGATTTTTTTGATTTATTGTAGAGATGAGGTCTCGCTGCCCAGGCGGGTCTCGAACCCGCAGGCTCAGGCAATCCACTCACCTCAGCCTCCCAAAGGCGCGGGGTTACAGGCTGAGCCACCGAGCCCGGCTTCTTTTTCATTTCTTTGTAGAGACGAGGTCTTGCTCTGTTGCCCAGGCTGGCCTCAAGCGATCCTCCCACCTCAGCCTCCCAGAGTGCTGGGATGACAGGCTGAGTCACTGCCCCTGGCGTGACGGCATGTACTTTAGACCCACATGCAGACATTTAAGATCCCTGCCCATAGCTGGCACTTCCTTGGTCACAGGGTTTACAGGCTCTGGTTTCATCACCACCGTTCCTTCTCAGCCCTGGGGACGAAGCCTTAGTGAGGACCTGCGACCAGCCCGAGGCCACGCTAGGTGCGGAATCCGTGCTGTCACAGTTAATCTTCACGAGACTCCCTCGTTCACCTGGGCGTCCTTAGGCTCAGGGAGGTGGAGGAGCCGCCATTGGCGGTCAAACCACATACAGCGGAGGTTACTAAAAACCTGCTTGGGCCTGGGCTTTTGTGAGCTCCCTGAAATCTTATTCACTTACTCGAAGTGGCCCCCCAGTGGGCAAAACCTCCTTACCTAGTAAGAAGGACACTGCTGCCACCTCGAGTGTTGGTGACATCAGTGGCTATTTCTATGTAACAATATTTTCTTTTTTTTGAGTTGGAGTCTCACTCTGTCGCCCAGACTGGAGTGCAGTGGCCGCTCCTGGCCACCACAGCCTTGACCTGCTGGGCTCCGGCGATCCTTCTGCCTCAGCTTTCCAAGTAGCTGGAACTACAGATGTGCGCTACCATGCCCGGCTATTTTTTATTTTATTGTAGAGACGAGGTCTTGCCAAGTTGCCCGGGCTGGCCTCGAACCCGGGGCTCGGGCAATCCACTCGCCTCGGCTTCCCGAAGCGCTAGAATTAAGGGCTGAGCCACCGAGCCCGGCCAACAATATTTTCAATCAGAGAAATAGGACATTCTCCACCTCCCCGCAACCCATCTGCAGTTGGAAACCACTGGTTTGGATGAGTCCTGAGCACTTTCTAAAGCCCTTTGGCCCTCTGGGACTCCAAGGGCCAAAGCCCATCTCCTTGCTATCTGGGCACGGCTGCTCGTTGGCTTGACTCTGAGTTAGAGCTTGGGAGGTGAACACAAAGCCTTCGTGGAGGCATTTTCAGAAGTCCGAGCGTCCCCTGCCAGGTTTGGGGCTTGGATCCTGAAGTAGCCCCAAGAAGCCAATTCGCAAGTCTTTCTAGTGGCTTCTCATACCTACCTAGAATTTGCCATCAGTCATGAATGGTCTTGGGTGGCCATCAGACGCTTCCAAGTGAGGGACGTGGTGGACATTCATCAAGCATTTACTTAAACCCAATGTCCGACGGGTGATTTCATTTACTCATCCAAATAATCCCCCGAGGTAGGTAACATTGGTGCAGAGAGAGAAGAAATTCCGGAGCCATCACCCACTCCGAGCTGCCGTTTTCTGCCTGTGCCCACAGTGTCCTCTAAACTGTCCCCAGGGCCTTCTCTGCCTGATCAAGCTGCTGCCCTGCCTCTCAGGATCAAGGCCTGTCCGCCCCTCCATGCCTCCTTCCTTGCCCCCCTAAGGCTCCCGTGTGCTCCCAGGCTCTAGTCCTTACTCCCTGTCCTTCAGCCACGCTGACGTCTCTCTGTTGGGCACACAGCAGCGCCAGCTGCCTCTCTCCCTGGGGGCGTGGTGCGAGCTGCTCCCCTGCCTGGAGTGCCTCTCCATACACACACACACATAAACACGGGCTGCTGTGAGTTCCTCCGGTTATCCCTCTCACAGTGCCCTGGGCTCTTCCTTAAAATATCTCTTTGCACCACTGTCACTCTGTAGGCATCTGTGCATGTGCCTTCTCCTGGCCTACAGGCTTTGGGAGGGCAAGTCCTCGTCTGGTTTTATTCCGGTACCTGGCACCGCGCTGAGCGTAGGCAGCGTTGCCTCGACGGCAAGCGCCCAAGCTGTGCTCTGACGTCCCCCGCTGGTAAGCGCCACAAAACGCCATTTCTGTCCCTAGTTCCAGCCTAGTCCTGTGCCGGCCATCAGCCTGTGGCTCACAGAGGTCCTGGCTCTGGGCTCTCTAGAGGTTGAGCTGACCTCGGTAGGTCACCAGCAATCACCTTTGTCCCCTGCTCAGGGGTCGGTCACACCTCAGGGGTTTCTGGGTCCCGGAAAGCACTTGATTTCATCGCTGACAAAAGGCAAGGGGGGTCCTTCCTCAGAGTCCTGCCCTGGGGCCCACCCTTCCCAGTGGCCACACGGAAGGGAATGGGGACAGTGGCTCTCCAGGGAGCCCACTGGGTGGTCGCGGCTGCAGCCGAAGTGTCCTCAGTTAGCGGCACGCTTGCTAAGCAAGCCAGCTGAGCAGAAAAGGCCAAAGAAACAGCACAACCTCCCCCGGGGGCTTGGACAGGAGGGACTTAGCTGTTCTGCGGACACTTGAGTCTGTCCGCTGCTTCTGCGCTTCCCAACCCCACTCCGACATGTCGCCCCATCCAGTCCACATTCCACACCCATGGGCGGGCTTTCCCAGCGGTCTCTGGTCTTTGATGACGCGTGACAGTTTTGTTCTACTCCCCTCTGGAAGGGAATACCCGACATGTTTCCGGTGGGGCTGGCGAGCAAGGGTGGAGAGTCATCGCCAGCGTTCCTCACGCCCTGGGCTGACCCCACCCTTTGCCGGGTGCTGTCTGGGGCTCCCCTCCTTGCTTCTGTGTCCCAGGCCCCAAGCCCCGCCTGACCTGGCTGCGCTGTCTGCACCCACAGCCAAGGTCCGCAGACCCGGAACAAGCCAGAGGCCCGCGTTCTAGTTCAGCAGAAGGTTCTCTTGCCTTTGAGCTCATGTGCCAGCTCCCGCAGGGGTCCATGGTGTGCCCAGGCTGACACTGCCGAGCTGCACTTCTCTCGGGCGTTTCACTGGGAGAGAATGTTCTAAGTGAGGGCTGCCCAGTCGTGGCACAGGACGGTTCTCTGGGGCTGGGTTGTCCTGGGCACTGCGGGATGCTGAGCAGCGGCCCTGTCTCCACCCACCGATGGTAGGAGCTTTCCCTCACCAGCGTGTTGAGTCCAAATGTCCCGCAGCAGGGACTCACCGCTCTAGGTGGGGCGCTCCTTAGGGCATCACGGGGCTCGCTGGGTCCTCGCATGGTGAGGAGGCTGGTCCCCCCTCCCCCCCGCGGCACCTGCTGCTTGGAAGGCAGCCCCTAGAGGGAGTGGAAACCCCGCCCAACCCACTCCTCTTACTGGGGGACCTGGGCCAGGGTGTGTGTGGCGTAAGCTCTTGGCCGGCCGGGATGCAGGGCTGAAGTCTCAGCTTGGCCACCTGCTCCCGCTAGAGTCGGGACGGTACTCCTTCTCTGTGTCTCACCTGCCATGTCCGTAACACAGGGATTGGGGCTGGTGAGATCATCGGTCTTGTATCAGGCACTCGGTAAATGTCACTTGAGTTCTTGTTTTTATCGAGGTCTAGCCACAGTTGGAAACTCAGTGGCTTTTTTCTTTGGGCACGAGGGGCACCGGCCTGGGTCCTTCCTCAATGAGCTTCTTAACACCAGCAATTTTTTTTTTTTGAGTTGGAGTCTCACTCTGTCGCCCAGGCTGGAGTGCAGTGGCACATTCATGGCCACTGCAACCTTGACCTGCTGGGCTCAGGCAATTCTTCCACCTCAGCCTTCCAAGTAGGTTTTTGATTTATTGTAGAGACAAGGTCTCACCAACTTGCCCAAGCTGGTCTTGAACCCCTGGGTTCAGACAATCCTCTCGCTTTGGCCTCCCAAAGTGCTGGGATTATAGGGGTGAACCACCATGGCCGGCAACACCAGGATTTTAAAAGGGCACTTTTAGTCCCTGTCAAGCCCAGCTGCGGTCCACAGACGGTCAGGGCACCTCTCCTGGTGCCAGGCTGGTATGGGGTGCCCGTTTGCCCTAAGATGTCTCTGGTAATGGCCGCTGATGGCTGTGTCGGGCTGTGGTTTCAGGGCACACCCGGGCAGCCCCCTGCCCATCTCGGAGCCCCTGAGGGTCCGACACAGGACCTAGCCCACAGTCTGCAACCGAGCAGGATCAGGAGTGAGCTGCCTGGCCTCTCGTCTCCGCTCCGTCCCCCATGAGCTCTGAGACTCAGGCAAGTCCCGCACCTCTCCCAGGCCTTCCGCGTCCTCTGAAGTAAAAGGATAGTCAGAGTGCAAACCTTCCAGGGTTGTTGTGAAAGAATTGCATGAGATAATGTGAACACGCACCAGCTGCTGGTGTTACGACGATTTAATTCTACGAAAATGAAGACAACAGCACCCGGTGCAGCCCCATGGCCCAGCCCACCCCATGCGTCTTGTCCCACCACCCAGCAGCCTCGGCTGGCCACGGGCACCCATGCCCGGGAGCTGCTGGGAAAGGCATTTCAGGAGGGGCAGTTCTCTGCTCTGACTGGGAGGTGGACGAGGAGGGCCAATGAGGGAGAAGGAGAATACTGCTCCCCGCCACGGGTCTTCCCTGCCACGCTGGGCGAGCCCGGTGGAGGCTCTCAAGCTTGCAAAGGAAGGTGATTGTTGGGAGGCCTCCTCCAGGATGTACCCGAGGCCAGGTCAGGGGTCATGTGGGCCCGACGGGGTGTCACCTCGGGGTGTGCTCCGGATGGTGAGACGAGGGGGTAGCCTGCTCGGGGACAAGCCGTGTCCCTTCCCTCCCCCAGGTGCCACCCAGGACTCAGCTCCAGTGAGTGTGGGTCACTGTAGGGCTGGGGTGAATGGCCCTGACGCTCCCTGCCACCCCCAGTGATGCCGGAGAGGGAAGCTTAGCGCCCCATCTATGAGAGCAGGGCACTCCCAAGAGTTGGAAAGGGAAGGCGCCTGCAGGGTAGCAGTGCCCACGAGGGCTGACCTAGGCGGACGTCTCCTCCTCACTCCTTTCCTTCTCCACGACGTTCTCTCCCTCCGCCTCCTGGTCTTCCTCTGAACTTGGCTGTTGCTCCTGCTGGGGAAAGACGGCACAGGGGTGCTGGGGTTGGTGGGGCCGGGCCCGCCCTCCCCTCCTGCCGGGGACGGGGACCCTCGGAGGCCCAAAGTGGCAGCCTTTCCTTGGGCCAGTGGTGCCAGCCCTGCGGCTGGCGAAGGCCCAGAGGCCAGGAGCCTGCCAGGCGGGTAGGGCCTTGGGAACGTGACACACTCAGGTTCAAGTCCTGCTCCTGCCGCCTGTGCACCAGGTGGCCTCGGGTTTCTCCTCCTGAGTCTCCTTGGCACCCTCTCACATAAAGAAGACAGGATACCTTGCAGTGGGCCCAGGGCCCGGCACCTGTAGGACAGCTTCAGGTCCAGGTGGTGCTTTCAGACTGCCACAGTCTCAGGCCAGCTATAGAAACCAAGAGACCGGCAGGAGGGGTGTGCCCGGCAGAAAGAGGCAGGGGCTGAGTTCTGTGAGCCTTAAGCCCTCCTGGGGCTCAGCTTCCTCCCCTAGAATGGCCAAGCTGTTGTGAGAAGCGCGTTTGGGGGTGTGCAGCCCCAGGCACAGCGCCTGCCCACCATGCTGCACTGTGAAAGATGGCCAGTGTCCTCTTCTAGGGGCCTGGGTGGGCCGGGGGTGATGGGTGAGAGGTGCCCCGGACCCTGGGTCAGAAAGCCAGGGCTCTAGGCTCACCAGAGCGGAGGGAGCTCTCTGCCTCACTGGGGAAAGGAGGAGAGAGTAATTCCTCCCACTCACCAGATGGACATGCTAAGGTCCAGCCGGTAAGGCTGCTTGCTGGAGGCCACCCAGGAGGTCCAGAAACGGAGGCAGAACCCAGGCACCAGGGTCCCACCCAGGCCCCAGACCACCCACACCTGGATCACAGAGTGTGGGAATAAAGTGGCTTGTGACAAGTACTTTAACATGCAAAACGCACCAGCACAAATCACCCCCTTCCTTAGACCAGTGGGAAGAAGACAGAGGAGGGAAGCCATCGCAGGTGGGACCAGTTCTCTTCTCCGTGTGCTCACTCACCTCCCGTCACCCCATCCACTCCACCAGAGGCCCAGAGCCTGCCACACAGCTCTCCTTGCAAGCAGGGAGTGCTCTGTGCAGTCACACGGGGCCCACTTAGTAAGGCCCATACTGTCGTCATCTTGAAATGCTTAATGCTTTTTAGACAAGGGTCTTGCATTTTCATTTGCACCGCCCCCCCCAGCTCTGCAGCCAGCCTTGCTTACAAGGGTGAACACTGCATATACTCGCTCGTGCTTTTCCCTTCCATGCCGCTCTCGGGCTCTTTCATATCTTGGCATCTGATCTGTGAGTCCCTAAAGGCAGTGACCTGGATGGACAATGGCCTTTTCTTCCTCTGGCCCCTGGTACAGGAGAGGGCCTGGAAGGTGACCAGATAGCATCCCCTCCTGTTCCAGACGGAAATGAAGGAAACTGACCAGAACAGGTGATAGAAAGTGCTTTAGGGTTGGGGCAAGGGCAGATGGGCTGGCCACAGGTCACACTCCTGACACCAGACCTGGGTGAGCCAGCATGATGTATATGCCGTGAATGTCACCGTTTCTCCCTCCATGGGCCCCAAGGCTCACTCCTCTCGGACACCTCACTTAGCCCCAGGACCTTCATTCAGTCGGCCAACAGGCATGCTCAAGACGTGCCCATCATGGCGGGAGGAGAGGATACTGAGAGGCTTGGAGCGTGGCTCCTGCCTGCAAGGAGCCTGAAGTCTGTTTGTCGACTTAAGACTCCTCGGGAGGAAGGGAGCAATTCCTCCCACTCGCCAGATGGACACGCGAAGGTCCAGCTGGTAAGGCGACTTGCTGGAGGCCACCCAGCAGGTCAGGAAACAGAAGCAGCCCCCAGCCCACCCACACCCCTGTTGAGGCCCCTACAGGCACTGGCTTCTTGGTGGCATCTGCCTCCGTTTTCTTCAGCTCCGAGAAGATGATGTCGAAGAACTCCTCCTCGGCCTTGCTGACCAGCGCCTGCAGGTCTGCGGCCAGCTCCTCGTCCCTCTGGTCATCGTCCCTGCCCTCCGCCCTGCCCTTCTCCTTCAGCCGCATCTCTCGGTGCCTGGCCTCCAGGATCTTCTCCCGCCGGGTCTCACGCTCAAACATCTGGGCACACGGGGACCAAGAGACGGGTGGGAAGAGGGCGGGGAGCTGGAGACTCCAGCACAGGGGCCATGCGGGGCTTCTCTGAGTTCTCACTCTGCTCCACCTGGGCCCACTGAGGGCTGTACACGGGGCTAGAGTCTGGAAAGGGGGCTACATATCGGGGTCAGGAGGCTGCAGCAGGGATGCGAAGTTTCTCAATTCCAAGAGCTCCGAGTACCTGGGCCTCAGGGTGAAGACTGCCCTTTGGAGCTATGCAATACGGCAGCCCTGGGCCCCAAAAAGGACCAGCTCAGCGGTGAGACACCGGTCTCGGGCAGCACCAGGAGGCTCCCGCGGCCCCAGCACTAGGGGTTTTCAATTCCACAGCGAACCCTGGTTCTGAGGAGTTGCCTCCAGGGCTGCCGGCTGGGGAGGGGGTGAATCTCCATCTCCCCTCCCTGTCCCCTTCCATCTTCTTCTCTACTGGCATTCTACTAAGCTTTCACTGGAAAGGCTCTGCTGTAAAAAATGTGTTGTTGGAAACTAGTCAAGCTGACCGCATCAGGCAACTTGGATTTGGTGCCCAAAAGTGGAGAGGTACGGTGACTCATCCGAGGCCTCTTGGCCACATGGTGGCTGAAGAAGGCTAGATCACAGCCACTGAAACCCGCTTATGGGCACCACACGGCCTCTCCCAAGATGTCCACCCATCTCCCAGGAGGCAGGAGGGGGAAGACATATTTTTCTCTGATTAGCCTGCTCGGCCATGGGGCCGGGTCAATACACGGGCAGGGTGGTCCTTGCCCCGGCATCCAGCACTTACCGAAGAGGCTATGTTCTTCTCATTCTTCTGGAGGGTGGAGAGCCCATGGGAGACCTCCAGGAGGGTGGTTGTCCCCAGCTGGGAGCCACAGGCAATGAGACACCCGTTGTCCTGCACCCGGAGGCAGAAGAGGGCCTCGTCACACACCTGTTGGAGGGGCCAGGCAGACCGGGTGGGGGAGACAGGAACAGAGTTACGACTGTCTGATCAGCTGGTCTCTGGGGAGGCTTGGCCACTCGGCCCTCCCCAGACGCCCTCGGGGACGCCCCCCCGCCCCACAGGAGGAAGCTCAGCTTCAGAGATGACCGTGAAGACCCCGGCCTCCCAGCCTCACCTCCCACCCCATCCCACAGTCACCCTGCGGTTCCCCAGACCCACACACACCCCTGGCCCCAGCCAGCAGGGCTCAGCTCTGTCTACACCGGCTTGATCAACATTAGCTCAGGCCTGAAGGGGCAGCGGGCGGGAGCCCACGTGGGAATTCTGAGGAGCAGGCCTGGGGCAGGGGAAGCCAGGCCCCTGCTTCTGCTTCTTTTAAGTTTCCCCCGGGTGATCCAGCCGTGCCACCAGGGTCCCCAGGCTCCTTAGCCTCTGTGGGGATGCACACTTCCAAAGCAAGAGTGGCAGTCAGCCGGAACACAACGTACCCACAGAGACCCCAACACACTCGGCCATGCCCGGCACCCACAGGCTCAGCCACACCACTCCCACCCGCCTCGGGGCCTGTCTAAGAGGGGCCCGGCTAGGCGAGGGCCTAGGCGCATGGAGGGGGCCTGGCGCAAGGGAGTGCCCGTGACCTTCAGGCTGAGGGCGGGGTCACACTGCTTGAACACAAAGTCCCAGATGTCCAGGGTTCCATCCATCTTGGTGGTGAAGAAAACCGCCGGCCTCACTGGGCTCCAGGCGCCATCAGTGAGGTAAGCCATGTGGTACCTGTGGGGGCCAGGGGCCACCAATCAGGGGCCATCATGGGGGGGTGGAGAGAGGCCGCCCTGTTCACTCAGTCCCCTCCAGACTCGAGGGTTTCAGAGTCTGGCTGGGCAAGAAGTTCTTCTCTGCATCTCACTTCCAGCCACGCCAACCTCACCCACCCACAGCTCACAGGCTGCTCTTGAAAGGGCTCTGGGATGGTCCTTCCCAGGGGCTGGCCACAGGCATCTCTCCACTGCTAAGTCCAGGCAACTGGCACATGTTTCTGGACCTGGGTCCAGCCCTGGGACTCACTGAAAGGAGCTGGAGGAAGGACATGCCCAGAAAAGTCATCATACTGAGATGAGGAGGGCTCTAGACTTCCTGCTTCGTTTAATCTGGTTTTTCAAGTTTCCTCAGTGAAGACAGAACTTTTTTTTTTTTTTTGAGTTGGAGTCTCACTCTTGTTGCCCAGGCTGGAGTGGCA